ATGCAGTCATTGCTTTTGTTGGTTCCAGGCTGCAATAAAACCTGTTCAATGAATGAAATTTTTCATGTGGTGGAAATTTATGGAGAGTGTATGCCTTCTAAGTCAAATGATGAGCCATCTTCAATTAAAATTTAGGTTAGATGGAAAGTTGATGTTCCAGATTTACAAAAAAACCTACTCGTCTTCTGAGAGGAGAGTCAATGTTCTGACTCAGCTGGTTTGACAGGTTAGTGTTGTCTGACATGGCTCAAGCATGTACCATTAAAAATCAAGATTGACAAGTGGGCAACAAATAGATTTCACTGCATTTTCTTCTGAATCAGCTCAAATGAAAATCTTTATCTTCATTCTTGAGAAACTGATGTCTCCAGTTTAATGCCTCAAAGAAGCAGTCATAGATGTTTGAAATGCATGATATCCTAATTTATCTCCTTTCCCATACTTTGTGAAGTTCCCAAAAGAGGAACAATATCAAGCAGTTCCTGACTGAAGTTTTGGGAAGGCAGAATGGACTGTTACCTCTGTGGGCTGAAAGAGACATATAACCATTCTTGAGGATTCCTCTTTGCTTTATAACAAGGTCAGTTCTTCTTCCATCTTCCCTTTTAGCCAGTGGTGGGAACCAGTGGTATTGCACCTCTGTTGATGGATGTTTCTTGCCTCCCTCCAAAAGCACTGATGATCAACACCTGATTTAGGATTTGGAAATGCACCACCAGCTCATGTTTTCAAGTATATGTGATCTTCGAAACACTAAGTGTCATAACTACTACCATATGCAGCCAGGGATGCTAATTTTTGTTTAGAACTGAGCTGTGATCTCAGCATTTTCAGCATTTATTGTCTTTCTCTTAAATATTTAACAGGTTGTGTGTGTGTGTGTGTGTGTCTTTGCACAACTTCAAGGGAATATATGAAATAGTCAGGGACTAGAGAGCAAAGTGTTGATTCTTGCTGTAATGAATTGCTTACTCTGTTTTCCTCTGTTTGGACTCTCTCAATTAGCTCTGTCCAAAGAATCTACTTTTTATGCAGCTATATAGACCTGTAAGAGTTCACCAGAGACTGACAACTGTGCTCTAATTTCTGAACAATCTAAAATAGCACAAGCCTCAGTAACTTTGCTATCCACTCACATATTTTGTGTGTGGAACTTTTTTTTTTTTTAAAAACAAAGAAAGTGTTCTAATTTAAATTTTTAAAAGATAATAAAATGCATTATCCTAACTGATATGATACAACAGATTGATAAAACTTTATGACAGAAAAAGAATACGTTGTCATCTACAGTTTATCAAAGATTTTCTTGTTTGAAATCAGAACTTTGTTTCAAGGATGATTTGACATTCCTTTGTATCAGTCATGACGAAATTTAACTATCAAGCAAAGAGATATATGCATGTTGGCATGTTACTCAAGAGATAAAAATGCATTTTGACAAATAACTTATTGATAAAAATTCTTAAGTGTATTTATCTGCATATTTGATTTTATGGGGGATTTTTCCATCTGTGTAGTTAATTTAGTTAAACAAAGTGCATATATTGGATTTTCTAACTTGACTTTCCTATCCAGTCATAGAGGATCAGGAGCTGACAGAACGCCAGGGCTAGGGAAAAAACCAAACAGTTTTGGGAGTGATTGGGTGTTGTTAAATGGAACTTAGGTCACTCTGGTAGCTGCAAAGAAACCGACTTGTTGAAAAGAGCAGTAGGATAAAAAGTGACTTAAAAAAAAACTGAATAAATGAAGTCAGATTCAAGTAGCCAAATGAACAAGCAAGGTGTGAGCATTGCCTTGTCAGAGCCAGTAATCTTAGATGCCATTAAATATTTAGTGTAGCCTATGTGATGAGTCTGGTCTATTTGATCTGCTTCTCTCAAGCTCTTTCTTTGGGAGGTCTTTATTTATGATTTAATAGCTGCCCATGAACTTGGAACTTTGAAGTAAGAGAATTAAATTTTCTTCTTCAGCTGTATTTGGCATTTGATGAGTGTCTGTGCAAAAGGAAGTAATTTCTTGAATAAGACCCTCACTTTTAATTACCAGCTGTCTTGGATAACAGTAGCATATTCAGTCCACAGCAGTAATGCTGGGGAAGAGACCTGTGATCTGTGGTTGTGGCTGAATTATAATTGCCCTGTTATTTACTTAAAAAGAGACACTTACAGGTACATGGGAAAGAGAGTTTGAGTATAAATAAATGAAACACTACTCCAGAAACATGTTTAAAAGCAAACACCTTACAGGAAAATATCTCAAAAACCATTTCTAATGGCATTTCTCTTCTTAGAAAACAAAGTAGAGTATATTCTTCCTTTCATCCTTTAAATTTTTATATCCATGGAGCTATTTAAATTACAGTAGATTCTCTGAAGAAAACAAATTAATATACAATAAGGAGAGAAAGATTGTCTCACTGCCCATTACCAAAACATAGAATAAAACATTCATGTCTGAAATAATTGTAAATTATCTTTTATGACTGCAAATAAAATTCTATTATATAATACAGTTATTGTATTGCTTCATGCATTTATTAATACTTCCTTATTTTAACAACAACATGAACAATGGGAATAACACTTATGTTGGCACAGAATGAATGTGACCCAGAAAGCTTTAAAAAAAATTGGAAATGAACATGTTTGAAATTGAGAACTCTCTTTAGACCAGAAAGCTTTAAAAAAAATTGGAAATGAACATGTTTGAAATAGAGAACTCTCTTTAGAGCCTGAAAGCTTCTTTTTTTTTTTTTTTTTTTTTTTTTTTTAATTAGTGAGATGTCATCATATGTTTTCAATATTTAGTTGAAGAAGAGTAGGAAAAGCTATGGCCCATATGAAATGTCTTTCAAATGCAATGCATATGTGATTACATTTACTCTTCACAGGTGTACCTTTTCCTGTGGTTTCATCAACAGAACCTTGGGGGGTTTTCTGGTTCATTGGTTAGTTCTGGTTTTTCTTTGCCCTGTAGCTCTTTATGAGCCCAGGTGAATTTATAAATCAATCTGCAATTGAAAGGCAATATCTGATACTGTAAGCAGTTTCTCTGTGGACTTCCCAATGACCTTACTGATTCAAGCCTTTATCAATATTTTCTTGATTTCCACTGATTTTCTTGATTTATAGGTTTCCTGACTTAGAGGCCTTAGAGTGCTCTGAGGCTCACTGCTGTTGTATAATGTCTATAAACAAAGACCAGTATTCCAGGTAGCAAATCTAAATACATTTTATTAGGGTTATTCTGGAAAAATCTCATTTTCTTAACTTGGTAAACAAGTCCCCTGAAATGGCTGTGACAGATAATTATCTTCCCCACTCAGGACAGTGTATTAAAACCCATCTACAGCCTTTTGCTCTGAAAAGGAAATCAATATGTAGATGGAATTATTATGTGTTAGTATCGATGACCCAAAATTTATCTACCTCAGACAGGTAAATCTGGTGAGAAAGCTCATATTTTTTTCACAGTTCTAATGATTTATGCTAGCATAAAGTCAGCTTAATCTGTTACCTAGCTGGAGGATTGTGTAGACCTTTGGAGAGAATAAATAATGGAATACCTCCATACAAGTACTAGGCACCAAACAGCTGACTATATTTCAGAACAATCTCTAGGCTGCTTTCAGCTGCAATGGGAATTGCTACTATTAGAAGGCAGAAAAAGTAGCAAAAACTAGTTTGCCTCAATTCTTGGTTGTTATAAGTACATACTAACTTTAGCTATAAATAAAAGGTACATTTTGAGATGGTTGTGGTTGATGTTTATTGTCTAGTTTTTGTAGTTCCCAAAGCAATAGGCACAAATGTATATGCCAGGCTATCTTTCCTGTTGAGATCCTTCACGCTGGGGTGCTTAAGCCTTCAATTAGCACTTCCAAAGGCATTAGAAGAAATTTGTTCAGTGGTGTTTGCAGGGTCATATCTATTTGATTTAAAAATAATTATTTTTTCTCTAGCAGTCAATGTTTGGGTGGGATCACCTATGAAAACTCTTTTGCACAAACTCTTTTGAAAACACTTTGGGACATGTCTGCTTGCTTTTAAATTGTTTTTGATTGCCTCAGTTCACTATCTGCTTATCTCCAAAGTATACATCACGTGGACACATAGTCACAAATACTAGCCATGCCTCGAGTATGCCAATAATAGTCAAAGTTTCTCAGTACTTTCAGCCAAAAATCAATCATCAAACCCACTGTATTTAATGTTCTTGCACCAATCTCTGAGGGCAACTAATGTGGAAAGACACAAATTCTTAGGTTTCTGTTTGCAATACTTTGCCAGAGGAATACTTTGGAAGAGTGTTTTATTTTACAGCATCCCTTACACAGGGCATCTTTGTATTGAGTGTAACAGAGCCTGACATCTGAATCCGCTTGGTTCCCGGCAGCGCTGTGGTATCAGGTAGCTGAAGCCATCTCCTGGTTACTGCCGGCTGAAGCCCAGAGCGACTTCTTTCAGCAGCTGGACTCGGCAGAAACTATTCCTCTCTACTCAGACTTTCCCTTGGAGGCTGACTCCGGCCGGCTCTTCCCGGGCATCACCCCGCGGCGGACGGGAGCGGATCAGCACCACGGCCAGCGCCCAGCGCTGCCCGCAGTCGGAGCCCAGGGAACCCAGGAGAGCGCAGGAATCGTGGGAAAGGGAAGTCCTGCCACTGTGCTGATGCTTTTTATGGGGACCAGACGCCAAACAAAAGGTCAAAGCATGCTATTTGGCCTCCTCAACTATATTTTAAACAGAGGAAAGGACAAAGCTCTTTCACAGACACAAACGGAATAGAAAAGTCATTTCTGCAATACCATCATGCTTCCCACAATGTTAGACTGAAAACAATTGGTGCAGCCATAGGGGTTTTTTCCCTCCTCATTACAGTAAGTGGCAATTCTTTTTGTCTGCTGAGGGCAAAGGTAACTGCTGCTGATTGCCAGATCTAGTGTGAAATTAATGAGCTGAAAGAGAAAAAGTATAAAGGGGAGGAAGTGACACATTATGTTCAAAAAGATCCATTCTATATTTCACCCCAACTCCCAGCGAAGAAATGTGACAGATGACATCCCTTACAGTGATGGCGCTGGTTCTGCAGTGAGACTGATCCGCAGCACTTCTATGTATGTCCTTGGAGGTGAGCAGGAGAAAGTTAGTGAACCACTAAAAAAGTGCAGAAGTACAACCAGCATCGACTCTTGCTTTCAGCCAAAAGAGGAAGACAGAGACTGGATGTACTCTAAGACTCAGGACTGCTTGAAGTACCTACAGGATCTTCTAGCCTTGAGGAAAAAATATCTTGAAAATATCAATAACTTGAAATCCATGCATATGGCTGCAGATTCTCCAGCATCCACAAGATCATCTAAAACTGGAAAAAAGTCATTTCTTCCACTTCCTTCCAAAGAGTCTTCTAAGGTAATTTCCAAGAACTTTTGCCATGTTCTTAGTCTTAAGCAGCAAAATAATTGAAGCTATATCACCTGTATTGATTTTCTACTTTATTGCTTTCAGCCAGTAGTCATTTTACTTTTGCCTCAATTTAAGTGTTGCTTAATACCTTAAGATTCTTTCTAAATAGCGTAAAATTAGGAATGAATGACTGGTCATAGAAAGAAATGTATATGTCTATGTTTGAGGGGGGCAAGTGCTGGGAGAGAGAAAATAGGAAAAAGTTATGAGAGTATGGAGAACGTTATGAAAGAGCAAGCTCTGATATTCTACTTAAATACCTCGGAGTCCTTCAGCTATTATTTATAGCTGTTAATGACTGACAAATGTGGTAATCTCTGGATTTCATGGCAGTCTTATTATTGACAAAATTACTAACACAAAATAATTATAAATTCACTGAAACAGAAAGGATTTTTTTTCCTGAGTGGTCAGTTAACTTTTCAGTGCTACATTTAGCATCACTGCAACCTCTACTGGTAGGATGTGGGGCATGAGGAATTCTTAAGGTTTCCTTTCTCTGTTCATGAATAAGTTGGTGGGTCATTTCTAGACAGTGTAATTCTTAACCCTTTACTGTAATGAAAATACAAAAATGAAACTGGAATATCATCTTTAGTGCAGACTATTTTCATGTGTCCTAGAAAGAAAAGCTTTATAGGTTTGCATGTCACTAGACAGTTTGGTGCTTACTTTGACTAGGCTTGATTCAGTGAGGACAAAACAAATGACTGCAGAAAGTGGGATGATCTCCTTAGGTAACATGACTGCAAAAAAGACTTCAGCAGGAGACTCACAGGTTATCCAGTGCAGTCTTTTAGCTGGATAATAATGGAGATGGTGGGAAGAAGGGAGGTAGGGCTGAAATTACTGATTAGGCCAGGTTGACTTTAAATAATGTTGCTGCCATATTCAGATGTTCTGTCACAGCAGAATGTCAGAATGGTTTGTGAACTTCTGAGATGTGCTGCTGAAAATACTGCTTAAGAAAAACACCAAAAGCTCAACTTGTTTTCTGGCAAACAATTGGCTCTCCTACAGTCTGAGGCTAAGAATGCTGTCATCTGAGTTTGGCCAGCTAGGCCCTGTGTATGAACAGTCCTGGTAGTGACTGCCATGCTCACTCCATTACCCATCCCCTTGGAAACAGACAGGAATATCAGCAGGGTATTCTTGCCAACACAAATGGCCAGGGTCACAGCTGCACCCCTTTGGCTTTGTAAAAATTAGGGAGAGATCAAGAAGACTTTTACAAGATTCAGACTGTTCTTCTTCCTAACGACACATTTTATGCTCACAGATTGCAAGGTTTGTGTTATCACCAGGCTTGAATGGTTTTGTCCTAAGCTACCTGGTTCTTATTAAATTACCTATCAGTGAAAATTCACTTATTTCTCTGACCTGCTGCATGACTTATGGGAAGGTAATTTGTCCAGACAAACCTGTCCCCATGGGAGTTTTTATCCAAAGATCCCTGGGTCCTGGACTACAGACTGACCATGGATTCAAAATGTGCCAGTTGTGTCTAGTGGAAGAAAAGAATGGAGGTGGATCAGATGCTGGGAGCACATAGGTATGCCTTTAAAATGCCTTTTAACCAATAAAGGCTTAGTCATAATAGCAGTCACTATTTCCAGTAGATGTGTGGTAGCAGCTATTTTTTAACACTTCTGAGAATGCCAATCAACCCATAATGTCAGGAGGGGAATCAGCTAGTTCATCTCTCTGCCTCCACAAAACAGGGAACAGGCTGGTCCTTCAGAGGTGTGACATGGCACGTATCCTTTTCTGTCATTGTAACCCAGGGTAGTAATTTTCTGAGCTGGTGTTGCAGCCTGACAATATACCTGGCTTGGACTAGCAAGGAAATATGTCCCTTCATTAGGTAGAACCTGGCAGGAATTATTCATCCCATATGTACCTTCAGAATCCCTAACCCAGGTTTTATGACAGCTTCAGCATTTATAGATAGGCATTTCCTTTTTCATCAAGACAGTGTGGCTTTCCTGTGGGAACCGGCTTTCCTGTGGGAATTATCACAGTGTTGAATGACTCACATTTTAGCACACACCATCCTTTTTAATTTCAAAAAGACTTCAGCAATTTCGATCTGGATTAATTTCACCTAACCTAGGCATTTGAATAAGATGCTTATGTTAGTAACAAATTTACCCCTCAATCCCTTTTCAGCTGAGAGAAAGAGCTGCCTGCAGAGGAGGGTTCAGCCTACTTAAGGCCTGACTCATCTTCTGAAGGTACTGGAGGCCAGCATTAATTACAGAAGGAGCCCTACATGACTACATTTCTAATGTGTGGCTCTTTAGAAGCCTAGTGCTAGGCAGAATAAATTTGGCCAAAAAGCCCAGCTGTCACTTAGCCACCCAATTAAATGACCTGCTGTGTGGATTCTGAGGGATTTTGGAACACCTGGCCAGTAGTATCCAAGTGGAAGGTACTTGTTTTTGAACATGCAACAGAATGGATATTTGCTAGACTGCTGCCCTGCTTTCTTTGATTTCTACACTGTGGAGTGGTCTCGACCCGTATTTCTTTTCTGGCAGCCTGAAGTGTGGCATCAAAGACATGTTTCATATACAGTTTGCTCATTAAGAAATCATTGTGCCCAACCCTTGGCTAACTTTTTTCTCCTTTGTCTGATCAACAGTCATCCATGGAAAGAAAAGGCCCGCAGTCCAGTTCAGATGTAAGAGAAGCAATAGCTTTCTTCGACTCAGTCATTGCAGACCTGGATTCAGAGAGGTGGAGGAGAGTTCCTGACGTGGGCCTGCCAAATGTGGATGTCGATTTTGATGGTGCAGTATAAACCAGCCAAATATCATGGGGTTTGGGGTGCAGAGGGTACAGTCAAATATGATGGGGTTTGGGGTGCAGAGGGAGGAACAGCATTGTGAGATAATATTTGTTTAATTAATTAATTTAATTAATCAGTTGTCTTCTAGTTTTGCTTCCCAAATCTAGGACCGTTACATGCAATATGTGAAATTACAGTAGTATGTCACTTGTTCCCTGTTGAATGGGTGCAACTATTTTATGTGCAGTCATTACCTGGCAAAGGTAGTGTGTGCAGAGTTGGAGTAGTGCTTGCCTTCTGCTCAGGTCTCACCTATTCACCCTTGCATATCTACCTCACGCTGTCTTTGGAGAACTATAGAAAGCGTAAATGTATTTTTTCTTAATTTTTTTTTTTTGAGAAATGGCTGGGTGACTCCTTTACAACTATCAAAAAATAAGTCTTTTGGTGATTAGGCTAAATAACTGGAGGTTTCCATCAGAAAGGATGGGATTGCCCAAAGAAATGAAGATGTGCCAATTAAGGTCACCATCTCTCCTGTATAATCAGCAGAGGGCTATAGATATTTCTCACCTTTGCTTCAGACTGAGGAAAATAATAGAAGCAGGACATTTTAGCAATGCCTAAGGAGTGTATTTGAAGGGACTAGCTCTCACATACATATTTATGCTGCAGGTGTTGAAATTCTAGATAAAATGAATCCCATCCCAAGTGATATCTTGCAGTGAGAAAAGGTTTGTCTCCTGATCTTACCTGCAGGAAGGACCCAGCAAGAACCCTTGCTGTGTTCCCTGACTGTGCAGATAAAAATGTCACTGACAAACTGTTAACCCCAGATTATCTTCTGTCTTTCAGTTGCTACCAGTACGAGTGAACACAGTTTGCATTCAAACTGGATCCTGCGTGCTCCCCGGAGATACTCACAAGATACTGCCCAAGCAGCTAAGCAATCTCAAAGAAACAGCCAGCGGAGAACCACTGGCTCTAGGAAAAGGTTGGAAAGGCATCCCATGTACCTGCCCAAAGCTGTGGAAGGGGCATACAGCACTTTAAAATTTAAGCCTAAAACACGCAAGAAAGAATGTTGAAAGAAGAATGTTCCCTTTTCACTTGAAGACAGAATATATGAAATAGGGCATGCAAGACCTATTTCATGCAAGACCTGAATTTTTTATTTTATTTTTTTTTTTTACCACTGATCCATCATTTACACTCCAGAAGTGACCTGTGCAGTCACTGAAGATTCTTCATAGGGGACATACTTTAAGCCATGGCTATTCCAATGTTGGACTCTCATATGAGAGTTTAAGTCATCAAATTTTCTGTGCCTAACAATACTGCTTTGTCACTCAGCTTGGTGGGGGGACTCCAGCTTGACAAGCCTTTTTTTCTAGTGCTGTTACAGAAAGCAATGATTCAGAGATTGCCTGGTGCAGTAATTTTTCTTCTGACTCCAGTACTGAAAAGCAGTTCAGGGAATTCAGTGAATATATTGGAGTTTTTGCATCAGTGTTTCCAATGTCAGAGCAGTGAAGCAGAATTTTCTCCTTCTGTTGCTTGTGAAAATTTGTACGTGCCATCATTGACTCTATGTTCTCAGAGTATACAGCAGCACCGAGATACACTCAGTCTGCAGCACAAGCAGAAAAGAGTTCTGTGATTCTGTGAGCTGGAGTGAGGGAATCAGCATTAGAAACTTGTGTTTGGGGAAATAGCGTGCTCCAGTGTGTTTTGTACTCTGCTTGCTATTGGAAATGGTTCTGTTGTTGGATGCATACAAATAATCACTGCATGCAAAAATGTATGCAACTTTTTTCATATGGTTACACCAAATCCTAGTTTTCATCTATTTTAACACCCAGCTGATGAATCTAGACACCCAGTGTACACTAAAAAAGCTTAAAGTCACTGAGAACATTTTGTGAATAAATTGGAGCAAAGGTTGTTCTCAGGGGCAGAAGAGAACTTGTAGACAAAGCCACCACATCACCTTTAGATTATACCCAATATCTGAAATTCTGCTACTCCATCATTAAACACAATATATTAGGATGAATGAAGTCTAGAAGTGTTTCTCTTCCTCTAAGAGGGGATAGGTATTCCATGTGATACTTGGAATTAATAAGACCCATGCTCTGCCTGTTTTGCCCAGCTCATACTTTGTCTTAAGAATTTGCTAAGGTATTTGGGATCAAGTTTTGCTTGATTTTTTTTCATCGGGCATCATTCAGCTGGCAGTGGACTATGACAGATGGATTATGGCAGCACTGCTATGGCCAGCTGGTGAATTTTCTTGTTTCTGTGATCAGTAGTTTTGTGTCCACAGGCTTAGATAAATTTCCTAAGGCACTGGCCATCAATACAGCCCATTTTATATACCAAAACCTCCATAAACCTTGTACCCTCACACAGAATATTTGGCAGGTGGTAATTCTTGCTGATTTGTGTTCCCAGTCCTTGGGAGTAAGTTATTCAAAAGGCATTTCTGCCATGGGTTACAAATATATCTCTGAACTTAATGATCTAGGCCACTTTCTGTCATAAGATAGGAAAGTGCCAAAAACCATATGTTCCTCCATTCAGAGCTGGCATCTCCTGTTTGATTAAAGCATTTTGATTCTTTTTCTAGTGATGTTTGTGAAGAGGATGGAAGAATTGTTTCTGTAGCACTTCAGTTCTGGAGGTGCTTTTGTTGCTCTTGGCCTAGTTTGCATCCTCTTGAAAATGACCAGTTTAAATAACATAATTGATACATATTCAAGAAGAGTTTAAATTAAGGTCTGGGTTTTGTCTCCCTGCTGTTGGTGCTTTTCACAATAGTCTGTATCCTTTATATTGTGTTGCTGCCTTTGTACCTCCCCAGTTCTGTACTGTCTGAATGCACTTAAAACTATTCTGCCTCTGAATGTGATCATTGAATTCCACTCAGAAAGGTGGAAGAGCCAGAGCACAGCATGTTCCAAACACACCCCTGGGTTCTGGCATGCCTCAAGGCTGCAGTTCTGTGTATGTGTGAGAGAAAGGGGACAGTGCTCAGAACCACACATTTTTGGCAACTGTGTCACCCTGAAACTCCTCTCCAAACAGAATTTCATACTGAAGTTGCCGAGGAACATTTTTACTGACTGTGTGGGCATCTTTTTGCTACTAGAACCTGCAACATGGATGGGTGCTGACAGAAAATCTCACCATCTTGTTTCAGTTACTATAACAGAATTATGCATGTGCATAATTAAAATACTGATGAGAAGAAAGAAGAAAAGGATTTCAATGTTTTTCTGCCCTGGACTGTGTTTCATGCTCATAGTGCCAAGGTTTTATGCATTGGAGTAACTGATCTCTTTGCTGTTGTTTTAAGAATGCATTTTGATGTGCAGAACCAGACTGCTCCAGCATGTGTGACCTTCCCTGTAACCTCTTGTCTGTCCTTGTAAAACAGACATCTCTGATCATCTGGCTGTGATAGAGGGTGAGGGTCCCCCTGCTGTCCAGCACAGAAGCTTCAGTGTGAAATTGGGTTTACTTTTATGAATAAGAGACAAAGGCGGGGGGGAAATCAGATTTATAATTTCTATTTGGATTCTGTGATTTTTTTTCTCTTTTCTTAAAGTTCACTTCAAGCCAGTCATCATCTTAGGAAATTCTAATTAAGCAAGCAAAATAAACTAGTTTTTCTCTGAGAATATGTTTTATCATCTATCCCATGAATACAGGCACCTTCCTTCTTCTTCTAGCATATTAGCCCTTGTGTGCTCCTCACTGAACAAGGCTCAGCTCCAACAGAGCTATGGAGAGCACTCCCTGCATCTCAGGGCACTCCCTGTGGAGGTGGGAGCTGAGGGTTCAATGGTCTTGTGCCACCTGTGCTAGAGCAGGCAGCTAAGCAGAAAAGGAGCATAGAGAAGAAAGGGAAGCATCTCCATCCCCAGTGTCAGCTGCCTCCTCAGAGAAGGATTTAGGGTGGATGGCAGCACACTCTGTGTTATCCCAAGACAGAGAACCCTGCTTCTGCCTGGCACTGGCTCACCCTAGGCAGCTTCCTACACAGTTTCCAGGAGCAGTTGGTTGCCCTGCAAACGTGCTCCCCATCTGGGCTGAATCATTCCCTCATGGCTTTGCAGGCAGAGCTCTCTGCATGGACAGTGAAGGGATTCTCTCTGTTAGGGGTTTGTCCTCTAAATGACCTTGCTGCAACCTGCAGTTATTTTCAGGCATAGCATCCTTAAAATTAGGCAGCTGCTAGAAGTGTTCTGACAATGCCAATCACACAGAAGAGTTGTTCATGACGGGCAGAGCTCTGCATGACCTAGATCTTTTGAGGAGATTGTTAGTGAGCCCTTTGAGTTATTCCCCCAGGCCGTGGTAATGAAGGACATCAATCAGGAGCTCTATCGATCAAGATCCCTGTGTGCCAGTGTTTCCTGCGGCACTGATCCCCAAGAGCTCTTTCCCAGAGTGCACGGATATAATAGGCAAGATCTTTGTGAAAACATCTCATATTTTGTTGTTTCAAACCCAGCTCAGTTAAAGTATTAGGATATGTCAGGTCCTTCTAGCTTGTGTCATTTCTGAGTACCAGCTCTGAAGGGGCCCTGGCTACAAATTTCTTGTGACACCACATCCCCATCTGTCTTTGAGAAACTAAAGACACTGTGTACAAGAATCCAGCAACTGAAGAGAGGTGAAATCTGTTGAAGAAATCATATCCTGGAGGATTCAAAAGAATTTTGCCCTTTTGTGTTGAGCAACTCAGTATAATCACAATGCATGTAAGTGAGGTGAAATCGTAAGGGTCTTTGGCAGAAACAGAAGAAATATAGGCAGCTAATGGAAAGTTGGCAGCTGGACAAGATGTAAGCTCTGGTTTGAATCTTGCAGTGCCATAAAGTTACAATGAAGGCAGAAGGTGTCAGCATCGCCTCGAGTAAAGCAGGAAGTCCTCTGAGGTAATGCATAGAAACATACATGGTTATCTGCTGCTCCAGCTTTGAGGGGGTGTATTAAAAATATTAAATTCACACCTAGTGGGTGTCTTGATAATTTTCACAGCTGTTGGGTTAGTTTGTCATTCTGCTTGGGTAAATTTGGGAGAGTGTCTCCTGTGATTTGGTGGTGGGGCAGGTCCACAAGGAGACGAAAGCAGCACAAAGCTGACCAGTCACAGCAGGCTGTGGTTAGGATGCTCTCGGCAACTTTTGGGCCTGTAGCTCTGAATTATGCCCATGATTAAGAGAAAACAGGCTGCATAAAGTCACTGGAACGACTCTTTAACTATTGTGAGTTTAACAGGTAGAAAAATGTTCTGGAGGAATTTTGAGGGCAAACCATGACAAATGAGCCCAGCTGCTTCCGACCAGACGGAGAAGCAGAAGCTAAAGCCTGTTGCTTGATTAGCAGCAATTTAGTGCGTGATGACAAGTTTTCTACTACTAGGCTTGTCATATTAAAATATTGTCCATCTTTTATAAGGCAAGACCAGGCATCACCATCCGAATGACTCAGTGCCTGTGATACCCTGCCTCCTCACAGAAGATGAGGTAACCCATTAGAGAAAATATAAAAAGAATTTATGGAATCAAAAGTGATGTATTCCACTCTTTAGTAAAAGTGAGATTGAGAAGGAAGCAAGACTTCAACAAGAAACTTATGGCACTGATAGTGAGACACAGCATGTGACACCAAAGTGAAATAAGTGATTGAACACAAACCTTCCATAATTAAGTGCTGGGGACTGTCACAGCATCAGCTCTTGAAAATTTCTAGAAAGGTAGCTAAAATTGTGACTTGGCCACACGGTGGCAGTTCACTCCTAGCTATTCTGCAACCCTCCTATTTCTGTGAATAAGAGAACTGAGGATGAAAGTAAAAGGGAAGTTTTGTCCTGCTTCATCAAGAGACAGTCAGTGTGTGTATCTGTTATTCACCTCTGGGCTCCTTATTTCCCAGGCAGTTGTTTGGCAGTTTCCAATGATCATTAGTTCTTTAAATGAGTTTACTTTTCCAGGGAGAGATTTCCTTAGGATATAAACAGCCATGACATCATAGGGGACACTGAGACTTCAGTAAATCATGGTGGAGAGGGTGACCA